AAATAGATATACCATAATGTTGCAGTTGATTTCTCAACAATGTTGCAGTGGATTCATTTCTGAGAAGAGGAGCGTGGTGGGGGCAAGAGGCGCGGAGTCACCACATAGACCTCGGGAATCGGGTGAAAGCGGGCTTGAGGCAAGCAACCCACAGACTCTTTTATTTCAGTTAGTAAAACATCTTATATAGCCAAGACCAGCTAATCCATTCAAGGGGTGGTCTGTGCCCCAACCAATCACAGCCTGTTGCCAGGCAGGCTCCATTGCCATGTGGGTTTCAAAACCATTCCTGAGTAACTGACGCTCACTTGCCAGCAGCCACCTTGGCATGGCCTTCTCATTCCACCACACCATAATGACCCAACAATCCCACTTCTGGAAATTTACCCAAAGGAAATGAAATCATCATATGAAATAGTTATCTGTACCCCCATGTTTATTGCAGCTGAATTCACAATAGCTAAGATATAGAATCAACCCAGTTGCACATCAGCTGATGACTGGATAAAGAAATTGAGAGATATATATATATAGTATGAAATACTACTCAGCCACAAGAGAAGAATGAATCCTGTCTTTTGCAACAAAATGGATGCAACTGGGAATCATTATACTTGATGAAATAAGCAAGTCCCAAAAAGGCAAATACCATATCTTTTCCCTGATTTGTGGTAACTAGTAGAGTACTAAAAAATGTAATGTGTGAGCAATGTTGGCATTTTGAGATTCAGTGACTGTTTACAGCCCTTATTTCTACTGTTGAGGAACAGTGTTATTTTCTGCTTAATATTTGTTGAACTCTTTACTTAAAGTTAATCTTATGAGTATAAAATAAACTGAAAGTAAGTCATTGAAAAAATTAAAAGAAAGAATAAGAAAGGAAGGAGAAGGGAGGGTGGTAGCCTGGGAGGAAGATAGGGTAGGGAAGAAAGTATCACTATGCTCTTAAATCTGTATATATGACATAGATGAAATTTGTTCGCCTAAAAACTAAATAAATTAATTATATCTAAAAAAGTTTTAAAAATTTAAATAAGCACATAAATTAATATGATATTAGTCGCAAATTAAAAAAGTATATTTTCGATGTCAAAAAATTTGACAAGGCATGTGTGTATGTTCTTGGATGAGACATATAATTTTAAATGAACCCAAGAAAGAAAGTACTGACTAGGCAGTTCACTTTCAGTAATCTGGGTTTTCCCAAACAGTGACATGAGAGCCAGTCATTTCAAACTGGACAGTTTGAGTTCCTCTTTAAGAACAGGAAATGTAGGTCAGGGCTCTACTGACATTTCCAACTGCTTCTTAGCCGAAAATCTGAAGTGAGCACTGACAAGCAGACAGAGGAGGCAGAAGGCATGACACAGCCAACAAGCAAAGCCACCTACATCTACATGGAATTATGAGCTCCAAATAGGTTGAAAGGTAAAGAGACAATAGCTATCCGAATAGACAGTTCTATTTCCTTTTGGAAATACAAGGACCAAGTGGTTTTCTAAGATTTTGTGTTATAGCATTTGGGGACTCCTGGAAGTTGCTGCAGCAGTAATATTGCTAGATATCACATCCCTTTCAATAACAATTACTTCATATACTAGAATAGATGCAGTCATTACATAGTCATACTCTATTAATTTATAACTAGGACCATTTCAGGGCTTGTATTCCTCTTCCTTATAAAGGGAAGATCTACTGCCAACAAATTATGAAAAGGATGCCTATATACCTGATCTTGGGGACCCCTATTTTTAAAAATTTTTCAGGTGTTTGATGCTATCTGATGAGCCAGGAGTTTTGCTTTTTATCATTGTTCTATATTACAGACTAAGGTTTTTCTAAACAGATTAAAAATGCAGTGATGGAATGATGTTGATTATTGAGTAGCTGAATTATTCAATAACATAAATAACTGATACATGGCAGCAGGCAGCTCTGGTTGTGAACTAGTGACGCTAGTATTGGAATTTTCACCCTGTGCTGCTTCTGAATTCTTTAGAGATCAACATGTTCTCCGTGAGTTTCACTGAAGGCAGCACTTTTGCCTTTGTCTCACCTTGTTTTTCTTTACTTTCTATGTTTTTCCTCTGGTAATTCTGAACTTTTTGGATTTCTCTAGTTTTGCTCATCAAAGACTGATATTTTACAGCTCAAAAGTTTATAACTCTTGTCAGGAGAATAATTCAGAGTTAGAGCAGAAGGCGGAGATATCTGATGAGAAAGACGACTGGGTGGAATGCATTTTACCGATAGTCAAAAATTTCTGCTAAGATAATTCATTGTGATTTGCTAAAAGTGTTTATTTATTTGCAAGGCAGAGAGACGCAGTGAAAAATTTCCTATCTGTTCATTCACTCACCGGTGCCTACAAAAGCTGGGCTGGGTCAGGCCAAACCCGGGAGCCAGGAATTCAGATCTCCCATGTGGGTGCCAGGGACTCAAGTACTTGAGGCATCACCTGCTGCCTCCCAGGGTGCACACTGACAGAAAACTGGAATTGTAAGTGGAGTTGGCACTTGAACCCAGGCACTGCTGTAGGGAATGGGTCATCCCAAGCAACACTTTAATTGCTAGGTCAGATGCTTGCCCTGTAGTTTTATTCTTCTGCTTTTTATTGCACCTGCTCACAAGCCAGTGACATTTCTTTGTCCTTGTTTCCTCACTTCCTTCTTCCTCTCTTTCTTTCTACCTTAGAAAGGTTTCCATCCATAACTATTAAGACAAAAATATAGGGGCAGGTACTGTGGTGTCGGGTTAAGTCCCTGTCTGCAGTGCTGGCATACCATATGGGCACCCGTTAAAGTACCAGCTGCTTTACTTCCAATCCAGTTACCTACCAATGTGCCTAGGAAAGCAGTGGAAGAAATCCTTGGGCTCCTGCACTCCATGTGGAAGACCTGGAAGAAGCTCCTGGCTTTGGCCTGGCCTGGCCCCAACAGTGTGCCATTGGGAAAGTGAAGCAGCAGATGAAAGATCTCTCTCTCTCTCTACTTCTTCTCTCCCTCTATCTCTCTCTCTGTAACTCTGCCTGTCAAATAAATAAATCTTTAAAAAATATTTTCATTATCTTATTAAAATATAACAAGTTAGGCATTTTCACATTTTTTTCCAGAGAGAAACAAAAGATTTTTTGCTTCTTTCAGGCATGAATCAGGTCTCCATTCAATGGGATGTGGTCATAGCCCTTTATATCCTCTTCAGTTGGTGTCATGGAGGTAGAGTATTTTGCATAGTTAAACCTTGTTTTGTTTACCCTGTAGGATATTGAGTGATTATTATTTTGAACTTATTAGGCTACAATCTCTAAAGAATAAAAATAATGAGATTGGGGAAAACTGTATGTATATGAAAGTTATATGCGATGAGATAAAGCTGCCTCCAAATGCAGAATTCTTTCCTCCAATATACCTGCTGGACAGCTCCTTAATTTCATACATGAATATTTCCACAAAGGAGCTTATTGCTTTGAGTTGGCATGTTCTATCTCTTGCAACTGTTATGGGGTAACTGACTAAAAGTTTGAGTTTAATTTCTTTGTACAAACCACTCAGTGATGGTCACCATATGTCAGGCTCTGTGACAGCTTTTTATTCCTCAAGACCACTTTGTGCGGTACTATAATGTGCTAGTAGTATTCCCATCTCTTCTTTTTAAAGATTATTCATTTGAAAGGCAAAGGGACGGGGGTTGGGGGAAGATATCTTCCATCCACTATTTCACTCTCCAAATACCCACAATGGCCCAGGGCTGGACCAGGCTGAAGCCAGCAGCCTGGAACTCCATCCAGGCGTCCCACATGGGTGCAGCAGCACAAGTGCTTGGGCCACCTTCTAGTGCCTTCCCTGGTGCATCATCAGGGAGCTGAACAGGAAGCAGAGCATCTGAGGCTCAAACTGGAATAGGACGCCAGCAATGCAAGCAGTGACTTAGCCCTCAGTGCCGCAACGCCAGCTCCTATTCCTATCTTTTTAAATTTTTTAAGATTTATTTTATTTATTTGAAAGACAGGTTGACAGAGAAATAGGGAAATATATTTACTTCTTTTTAACATTGAGCCTATAATAATTACATTGTTTTGCAACTTGCTTTTTAAAAAAAAAAAAAAAAGGTTTATTTATTTACTTGAAAGTCAGAGTTACACAGAGAGAAGAGAGGCAGAGAGAGAGAGAGAGAGAGAGAGGTCTTCCATCTGCTGGTTCACTCCCCAGATGGCCACAACAGCCAGAGCTGGGCTGATCCGAAGCCAGGAGCCAGGTGCTTCCACCTGGTCTCCCGTGCGGGTGCAGGGGCCCTAGGACTTGAGCCATCCTCTCTGCTTTCCCAGGCCATAGCAGAGAGCTGGATCAGAAGTGGAGCAGCCAGGACTCAAACCGACGCCCATATGGGATGCCAGCACTGCAGGTGGCGGCTTTACCTGCTACGCCACAGTGCCAGCCCTGCAACTTGCATTTTTACTTAACAATATATTGTGAGCACTTCTTCATATTGTTAAACTGATGATGGATTTTATTTGGTTGTCAAGCACCAGAATTTTGTCATAGGCAAGGGTATGGCTTTATTTGTTAAGTTCAGAATTTGCTGATAAAAGTAGCCTTTATCTAAAAAAGGAAGATTGGCTGAGTAGCTAGGGAAAGGGGTTCGGATTCTGCAGGGCTCAGTGTTAGTCTAATTATACCTTTGAAAAACAGCATAGCTTCATAATGCCTCCGTTCTCCCCTTTGATACAGGAGGTTTAGTTATATCTGCTCTTTAGACATTTAGAGAAGATAAAAGACTCACTCTAGTCTTGTGAGATATTGCCAAATATCAATAGAAGCAGGATAAAAACACAGTATCATTAACTAATCAACAGAAAGCAGACACTAGGCCTTAAAATTTTCTTTCAATGAAATAATTTCATTAATAGAAAAGAATCAATTTTAAATGCCATGCCATCATTTTCTGAATGACTTATTTTAATTTTACACAAAGAATGCATTATTTCTTCTGTTTATTTCCAGGTATTACAAATATAAACTGCTCTGGCCACGTCTGGGTAGAACCAGCCACAGTCTTTAAGATGGGTATGGATATCTCTATATATTGCCGAACAATTAAGAATTGTCAAGCAAGAAAATTTTATTTTTACAAAAATGGCATTAAGGAAAGATCTCAAAACACGAGGATCAATGCAACAACAGCCCAGCTTTGGTATAAAAGCTTTGCGGAGCCACGGGCTTCTGTGCACTGCACCGCTGAATGCCTGGGACAGCCTGGAGAGAAACTGATATGTGGAGAAGACATTTCTTCTGGATGTAAGTGTTGGGGCACATTTAGAATGCAAACAAAAGAACATCTAACTATTAACTAATAATTGCCAGTCTTGTCTAAAAATAGAGACAAGTTGATGTATTTCACTCCTTTGATGGTTTTAATATGGGAGCTGCTATGTCAGCCGCCTCCAGGGCCAGGCTGGGGAGCTGTAATGAGCAGAGGAGGCTGGAGCACCTGTGCAGAGAAGAAAGCACCCGGATGGTCTGCTGGGACAGCCACTCCAGACCCAGCATTGTGGGGGCTCAGGGCCCCTAGTGTTTGATTCTTCAAAGCCAGACAGAAATAGGAATTTCTAATGCGAGCTCTCCAAATTTTGAAAGGTTGCTAATGCATTCACAACTCAATTTTTTACTATTACCCTGCTCAAACATGATGTGTGTGTAAGGGTCCAAACCCTCAGACTTAAAATGTTGCTCTTTTCACCTTTTTTTTAAACTTGTGGTTTTTGTTTGTTTTCAAAATTGATATCATCAACCTGGAAACCGATTCATATGAGAAATGTTGAGGCCAAGATTCAGGGAGAGTTGCAAAACTCACAGCTTTGCCTTCCCACAATACTGCTTACAACTATGTGACCTTGTGTGCGTTGTTCCACCACTCTGAGTTTCAGTTCCTTGTCTGTAAAATGAGGCTAATTATATTTGGCTGTGTCAAACGCCAAATCCAATAATTCATTTAAATGCATATTATAAACTTTAAAGTACAACACCAATGCCCAAATCCTCAAAAATGCATCTTTTTGATAAATTATGGATAGATACTAATACAGTCTTCTGCTTCTAATCCCACTTCCCGTTGCAATTCACCCTTTGTTACATTGATGACTAAAAAAAACCTTAGTCAAGTTCATCTTAAAAATATATCCTAACTCCAATTTGTATTTATAGCATTCTGGAGGTGTTTGTGTTACTATGGTAATATGAGCTGGCTTGTATAATTACACATGTTTAATTCTTGTTTCTACGGTTATGAAGGGTAGATCAAATTCAGCATTGTTTAAACTTAGAGATTCATTGTCGATGGCACTTGGGCCCATTATCAGTGGAAGCTCAAGGGCTTCAGATCTTTGCAACACTCCTTTCGGTTAAACTTTAAGACTTAGATCTGAGTTCTTGTTTATTCCTCACCTCCAGACCCTAGTTCACAAGAGCCAGACCACTGTTGCCACTACTGCTTGGCTGTTCCAGTGGCAGCCTGAAAAGCAGGAGGCTTCCTAGTTCTTTAATGAGGCCATTGCCCTACTCAGTTCTGGGCATCTGATCCTATATATGGGAAGTGGTAGAAGTTGAGGAAGGAAACCAGTTCAGTGTTGCAGTCAAAGAATATTGTTGACAAATGTATGCCTTAACCACGCTAACTTGCCCTAAATTGTGGAAATTAAACCACAGGTAGATATCTTATCGGATGTATGAAATCTCCTTGGCTTGTCCACATCCTCAGGAAACAAAACCAACCCTCAAATCTTAAATGCAGGGGTCTTCAAAAGTGCATGGAAAATGCATATTTTTTAAAACGACTATGCTTTTTTTAAAAAAAAAATCTGTGCATCAATATAAATTTATCTTTTAATTCCATTTTCCATGAATTGTTGAAGTCCCCTCCTACTTTTCTAGTAATCCTTAGGGGATAGGAGGGGTTTGGGGAGAAAACACAATTTCTACAGACAGCAAAAAAGCAACTTCCATTGTTGCAGGAGAAGGTCATTGTTCACTGAAGCCAGAGGGGAAAAGGAAGCAAAACAAGTATCACCTCTGTTGAGAGCCGAAGTCCCAACAAATTTAGTTGGTAGATATGATTGACTTTTATTTGTGATTCATGAATCAGGCAAAATCTCATGCTGTAAAATAGACAGGTGTTCCACTGGGCATGACAGACTGGCTGGTTTTTCTCAAGGTAGGAGCAGATTGGTTAACATCAGGTTACTTTCCCTGTAAAGGTTAAAGCGGAAGGAACTTCCTTACCAAGCTAATTCCAACTGTTGGCTGTGAATCTCCTGGTTTCTAGACAAACTAGTCTGTTTGGGTTTTACCTGCTTCCTCAATGTTTCAGTGTAATTGTGCAGCACTTGGTACCAGTGATTCCATTTTGATTTCATCTGTTAGGACCTAGTACAGAAGCTCAGTCCAAAACAGGGACCTCCTATAAATTGTATTTAAGACATCCTTCTCTGTGCGGCACTTTGTGGGGCTGATGACTCCCAATACCCCTGCCAGTGTTGACTGAGGAGCCTCTGCCCTCAAACCCAACACAGGTAATATTGACAGTCAGAGAAGGACTTCGATTCCCTCCTAGGACAATTCAGTAGAAGTGTTACTGGAGAACAGCAGGGTCCTTGTCTTTGCGCAAGAAAGAATTCCGGCGTGAGACAAAGAGTAAGTGGAAAGCAAACAGCAAAGTTTATTAGGGCCGGGACATCCGTGAGAACGGATGGGCACCTCTCCAGACAGGACCTGAGAGAGAGTGCCCAGTTGCTCAGACTGGGGGAGAGTGAGGTTACATGGTGAGTGGAGAGAGTACACCTGGCCAAGCCAGGTGGGCGACTCAGCAGAGAGGCAGAGGGCTGAGCGCGCAGTCCGGTTGAGCCCGGGGATTTTAAGGGGATGGGCCTTGCCTTCCCACTCTGCTCCTCCTGGAACAAAGGACTTTTTGGATGTAGATACGAAAAATTCCTATCTGAGTTTTCCCCCTGAAGTTATCAGACAGGAGGAAGCCTGGCTGGTGTAGCCCCGGTTAGAGGAAGGATGGGCAGGGCCCCCTGGAAGATCAGTAGGATGTTTGATGTGCAGATACTGGACTGCACCTGGAAGGTTATCAGGCAGAAGGGGCGGGACCCCCACCTGGCAGGTTATCAGGATGACTTTGAGATGCATATGCTGGACCTAGATGTCAACTCTTTAGGCCTCTGTCACACACACACAAGCTCCTATCTGACTTGTACCTAACAGAAGCACTCTCTCCACTGATGGCTGTGTAGAAGGAGCACCACTCTTTCCATCCACTTAGCGTGTGCACTGTAAATCCTGATGCAGCTGTCTGGTTCTGAGTATGAAAATGTGACTACCACGTAAGGGTTTACTCAGACCCCAGTACTCAAGCTGATGTGCTTCCGGCTGCTGCATTCGTCACCAGCAAGACTTCCTATTTAACTAGGTCAAGAAAAGTTGTTTGAGGGTTTTCGCGGCATTCTAGAAATCACTTTGCTTTCACTGTACCACTTTGATCGCAGGATGTTTGTCCTGTGAACATTGCTATGTCAATCACCCTTACAGCTTTGAACAAAAGGATTATTTCTTTATTTTTAAACTGAAGCCAATTCATAAAGTATAGAAGATAAATGAGTCATTGGTTTCCCTGAAAAGTGTATTTTATTGTGTGATTCGTACATATAAACTATGTTATCACAATTTCCAATTTAAGCCATAAACTTAAGCACTACTTAGATATTTTATCTGTAATTAAGTGCACATATACAGTATATTTGTTCTAACAAGGTCATAGTATTTGTGGGATAAAACACTCCAAAATATCTTTATCATTTGAAAATACCAAATTAAAATAAACCCTATGCAGTTGTATTTATACTTGATCATTTAATGGCTCTGTCTCTACATTGCTTCATATTAATAAATCCTGTGCTTCTTTGCGTATGCATATGTAAAGTCATAGTTTTGATCTTTTGCAAAGCTAATTAACCAACAGACATTTAGAACCTTCACCACTCACTTCATGTATAAGGCTGTGGAGTAACAGAGTCTAAAAGACTGATGGTTTTTTCTTATGACGGCCAGATGAATGCTACCCTCTATCTAAAATCAGAATTAAAAATCACTCCAGCACAAATCATTGAAATCAATAAGGGACCACAATGTACTCAGTATCCAAAATGATTACTGTTCCACATCTGTCTCCTTTAAGGCTCAAAACAACTTAAAATTATTTCTTTTACCCTAGTTGGAACCTAGTTTCTCCCCAATGTAATTCAATGCTACAACTCACCAAAATATGTTACAGTACTTTAGGATGTTCCTTATCCTTTGAAAATAGTTTTTCAACTATTTCAATTCAATATGGAAAGCTTAAAAATTTTTACAAGCAAAAAAGAAATGCCCATTATTGCTATAATCCCATAATGTTGTCATTCCATAATCTCTCTTCAATAATTTGGAATATGTATTTCTGTTTTCAGTCTCTCTCTCTCTCTCCCTCTCTAAGCCACAAACTATTTTGTGCCACAAACTATTTTGCAACCTGCTTCTTTCACTCAATGATTACTTAACTAAATATATTTCTAATTACTTCCAAATTCCAGGTACTAAAGTTTCTCCTACAGAATTATTTTTGGACATATATTTAGACTGTCTTATAATTTATTGAACCCTATTTCAGATATTGAGATAGTTTCCAATTATCCTATTATTACAAATAATATTTCAAGGGAACAGCACTTTTGCTAAAAATTTTTTTTTGATAGGCAGAGTGGACAGTGAGAGAGAGAGACAGAGAGAAAGGTCTTCCTTTGCCGTTGGTTCACCCTCCAATGGCCGCCGCGGCCGCTGCGCTGCTGCCGGCGCACCACGCTGATCTGATGGCAGGAGCCAGGAGCCAGGTGCTTTTCCTGGTCTCCCATGGGGTGCAGGGCCCAAGCACTTGGGCCATCCTCCACTACACTCCCTGGCCACAGCAGAGAGCTGGCCTGGAAGAGGGGCAACCGGGACAGAATCCGGCTCCCCGACCGGGACTAGAACCCGGTGTGCCGGCACCGCTAGGCGGAGGATTAGCCTAGTGAGCCGCGGCGCCGGCCTTTGCTAAATATTTTTATATATCTATGAACATTTTATTAAGGATGTATTCCTAGATGTAAAATGTTGGGTTGCAAGATATTATTTTCATGTTTAAAGACTGTGATGTAAAAACTGCTCTCTATAAAGATAGTACCAATTTGTACTCCACCAGAAGTGTGTTAAAGGATTTCCCCAAGTCCATTACCATTACCAGTGCATATTACTATTTTTCAAAATCCTTGCCAGCTTGATAAATTTAAATGATTTGATTACATTGTTCTGATTTGCAATAAGGATCTATTTTAACATATTTATTGTTTTATAAGTGATATTCTTGGTAGATAGTTTGTAGGTGATGTAAGAGTATACCTGATACATCTTTGACTGTAACTTCAAGTGCACAAATGTCTGTATGTTTATTCCTTACAAATCCTCATTCTTCCATCTGTCTGGTCATTCTGTTAAGAGTCAAATATCCCTGGCAGTATTTCATATGTACACAGACAAGCTGAGAAAGCCATAATTGAAAAGTGGGTATTTAATAAATACTCAATATTTCCATAGTTCTATTCTTAAGAATATTCACCATGATTATTTATGAATTATTGGATGATATGAATGAAAATTACAGATGTTCTTCCATAGATATCATCAGAATCCTCCCATGTTTTCCCCTTTCTTGGGTTTTTTACCCCCTATATTGGCTGTTTACAAGACTGTTTCACTATGACAACAAGACAGTCATCAACAACTCAGAGTTCACATGCTACTCAGAGACAACAAGCACCTCTTTTACAATGACTCCAGAAAAAGTCCCTTGGAGAATTCTGATTGGCTCATCTTGAGTCATGTGCTCATTCCCAAGGGAAATTCTCTGATTAGTCAGCCTAGGTCAAGAGCACTCTTTTTTAGAGTCTAGTGATTGGCAACCCCTTGGAGTGGGGTAGAGCAGGAGTGAGGCTGGAGATGGGTGACTGGGGGCAAGTTGGTTCTCAAAGGAGAAAGATGCTAGCAGGCAAAAAGTCACAATGAGCTCCATAAGTTAGCCACCTGGAAAAAAATGTAAGTAGGTGTGGGACGGAGGGGAGGAGGAAGTGGAGAGAGAGAAAGAACCATGAAATTCTGTGAGTATCAGACTTCAAAAAAATCTGTTAACATAAAATGGACCATTTTACCAGGCTTCCGTGTACATTTCAGTGACATTAAGCATATTCACTGTGTAAAACAGTTACTATGATTTAGCTCCACCTAAAACTGAAACTCTGTACTCATTGAACAAGAACTCTGTTTCCCCACACCCCCAGCCCATGGCACCTGCCTTTCTGCTTTCTGTTTCCACGAGGCTGACTATTCCAGGTACTTCATATAAGTGGAATCATAGTGTTTTTCCTTTTGTGTCTGGCTTATTCTGCCCAGCATACTGTTATCCATCCTCACCTATGTTGTAGCATGTGTTGAAATTTCCTTCCTTATGACAATTAGATAATATACCATTGCATGCAAGGACAAAAAACATTTAAAATGAATAATGAAATATGCATGAGTCCACAGTGGGAGCTAATCTGCCAGAGCAGTAAACAAACAAACCAAAAACTGTAGGGAAATAAAAATTCTTTTACAAGAGCCAAAGAACAGAGAAGGAATCTGCAAAACATTAAATGTTGTAGACACGAAGGTCAATTCCAACTGATAGAAGATCATGGGCTTTGTTGAAGGGAAAGACCTTAAAGATTCCAGCAACAGTGGTTTTGGTGGAATTGTGGGGGCCAGATCCTGGTTGTTTGGAGCTCATGACTAAAGGGAGATAAAGAATTGTGAACTCTTTTAAAACATTTAGCCATTATAAAAAGGAGAAAGCTACAGTGGTAGCTGAAGTGAGGCGGGACTTGGGAGATCTATGATATGTCATGTTATGTTATGTTACATCATATCATATGTCATGTCATGATGTAATGTGATGTGAAGTTATTTGGATAGGAGGAACTTGACTATGTTAGTAGTATACAAAAAAAAAAAAAAGAGAATATCCTAAAGTAAATGAAAGAGAGCAGCGCTGTTTAATGTTAAAGTGGTTTGCAAGGTGAGGTGGTAGGGATGGAACGAGGCATTGAGTGCCAACTGGCCAGGTTTTCCCCCAAAACTGACTAACTACAAAGAACTTCCTGCTTCCTAAGGTGGCTCCTAGGTGATACATTTTGTTGCAGATCCACCAGATGCTCCTGAGGACGTAACCTGTGTCATTCATGAATATTCAGACCACATGACTTGTACTTGGAATGCCGGGAAACTCACTCACATAGCCACAAAGTATGTGGTACATGTGAAGAGGTACGTGCCTTCTTTCATGGCTTCACTTAAGACTTCCATCGCAGTGCAGCCTGGGTTGAGCTTCAAGTTCACATCCAGGAAATCAGCCTCAAGCACTCAATATTTACTCCGGTTATGCTGAACTTCCTAATTATGATCAGGGAAGCTCCCAACACCCTGTTTGGGTCATGAAGATTTTCAGTCTGTGAGGCAATGCATTCTGTGTTCCTTCTGTTCTTTTTGCTCCTTGCTGGGTGACTGGTAACAGAAACCTAATGGTGCAGCAAAGCAGTTTAAAACCCTTGCCTAAATTCCAGTTCTATTCTTGTAGGGTTTAGACAATTAACCCAATCTCTCCAAATTACCATTTCTTTATCTTTAAAATAGGCCTAAGAATGGAAACGAATGCACAACTTTGTTCTAATTAATTTAGTGGAATTTGACTTTTAAAGTATGTATCACAGTACCAGGTCCATAGTTAGCACGAAATTCATGGAAGCTATTAGTCATTAACAATGACTCCTAGATCTTAATTTTTATCTATACAGGCTGATCAACTGTCCTGATTTGCCCAACACTAAAGGGGTTTCCTAGACACAAGACTTGCAGTTTTACAGCCCAGAAAACTGATCACCCTATTCACTGTTTCCTGATTTGTTAGTTTATTTATTTTTTTAGGTTTTTTTTAGATTATTTATTTATTTATTTGACAGGTAGAGTTACAGACAGTGAGAGAGAGAGAGAGACAGAGAGAAAGGTCTTCCTTCTGTTGGTTCACTCCCCAAATGGCCCCAATGGCCGGAGCTGCGCCGATCCGAAGCCAGGAGCCAGGAGCCAGTAGCCAGGAGCCTCCTCCTGGTCTCCCATGCGGGTACAGGGGCCCAAGCACTTGGGCCATCCTCCACTGCTTTCCTAGGCCATGGAAGAGAGCTGGACTGGAAGAGGAGCAGCCGGGACTAAAACCGGCATCCATATGGGATGCCGGTGCCGCAGGTGGAGGATTAACCTAGTGTGCTATGGTGCCAGCCCCTGTTAGTTTATTTTTTAACAAAAGAATTCTTCACATAATATATTTGAAGTACACACTTTTTCTTAAAAATTTCACAAACGATTTGTTTTTAAGATTTATTTATTTATTTGAAAGGTAGAGTTACAGAGAGAGAGAAGGAGAGGCAGAGAAAGAGAGAGGTCTTCCATCCACTGGTTCACTCCCCAAGTGGCTGCCATGGCCAGGGCTGGGCAACGTCGAAGCCAGGAGCCAGGAGCTTCATTTGGGTCTCCCACATGGGTGCAGGGGCCAAAGCACTTGGGCCATCCTCTGCTGCTTTCCCAGGCACATTAGTGGGGAGCTGGATTGGAAGTAGAGCAGCTGGGACTTGAACTGGCGCCCATATGGGATGCCAGTGCTGCAGGCCTTAATCTACTGAGCCACAGCCCCAGCCCCCACTAATTTTTTTTTTCAACAAGAAGGCATTTAATGGACACTTACTCTCTGTCAAGCACTGGACCAAGAGCTTTGCCTCTGCTACCTCATTGAATCCCCTATACAACATTGTGAGATGCTGCTATGGTCTGAAGGTGTGTGTCTCCCTGAAATTCATAAATCAAAACCTAACCCCCAATGCAATCGTGTTAATAGGTGAGGCTTCTGGGAAATGAAATAGTCCTGCTGAGTTGAAAAGTGGACATGAGAACAAGAGAATTAGCAGCTCATTCCTAAATAAGATTTAAGAATGTGAAAATGAGGGCAATATCAAAGCAAACCCCACACTTCAAGCTCACATAAAAAAGCTGGGCAGTGCTAGATTCATGGAGTAGCCTCGTACCTTGATAAGTTTTGCTGTCTCTTGGAGTCTGGAAGCATCCCAAGACCTTGATGTTCCTGGTTGACTGGTGAACTCATTCTCTCATGCTATATAACTGCTTTCTTGAATACAGCTCACCTACCATACGACTCACTTTATTTGATATATACCAATGATTTTATTAAATTCACATAATTATGCAACCATGACCAAAGCACATTTCAGAATGTTTTCCTTACTCCTAAAAGAAAACCATTACCATCACTTCCTATTTTCCCTCTCCACTCCCAGTGCCTGGCAACCACTATCTCCTTTATGTTGTTGTAGATTTGCCTACACTGGATACATAATATAATAATAATTATACAACAGATGGTCTTTTGTGTTTGGCTTCTTTCACTTGGTATATTTCTTTCAAGGTTTATTGATAGTGTAGCATGTATCAATACTTCATACTATTTTTTAGAGGGGGAGAGGGCTGAATAATTTCATTTTATTGATATGTCGTAATTTTCATATTCATTTACTAGTTGATGGGCATTTGGATTGTTTCCACTTTTGACTATTATGAATAAGGCTTCTATTAACATGTGCTTTAAGTTTTTGTGTAGTATATGATTTCATTTCTCATGGGCATGTGTTTAGGAATAGAACTACTGGGTCATATGATAGCTCTAAGCTTAACATTTCAAGGGATAGCACTAATGTTTTCCAAGGCAGCTGCCCTATTTTACATTCCCAGTAATGTGTGTGGGGGTTCCAATAGCTCCATCTCTTTGTCAACACTTATTATTATCTTGTTGATGAATGCCATCCTCATGAATGTGGGCTAATTCTTTTCAAGCCCCACTCAACTTCTTTCTTCGGTTTCTGACAGTAAAATTGCATTGTAAATTTGGAATACACATACAACAATTTGAGCAAGTATAGTTGTTAGACAATTTCAAACTTGCCAACAAGTTTGATATCAAAAAATATAATTTTGGAGGCCAGTATTGTAGCACAGCAGGTAAAGCCACTGCCTGTGACATCAGCATCCATGGCCCCAGTTCATGTCCCTGCCGTTCCACTTTCAATCCAGCTCCCTGCTAACGTCCTGGGAAATCAGTGGAGAATGGCCGAAGTGCTTGGGACCCTGCATCCACGTGGGAGAGCTGGAAAAAGCTCCTGGCTCCTGGCTCCTGGCTCTTGGCTTTAGCCCAGCCCAGTCCTAGTCTTTGCAGCCATTTGTAGAGTGAACTAGCAATGGAAGATATCTCTCTCCCACTCTCTGTCTCTCTCTCTCTGTGTATAACTTTGCCTTTCAGATAAATAAATCTTTTTTAAATTTTATTTAATGAATATAAATTTCCAAAGTACGACCTATGGATTACAATGGCTCCCCCCCCATACCGTCCCTCCCACCCACAACCCTCCCCTTTCCCACTCCCTCTCCCCTTCCATTTACATCAAGATTCATTTTCGATTATCTTAATATACAAAGATCAGCTTAGTATACATTAAGTAAGGATTTCAACAGTTTGCTCCCACACAGAAACATAAAGTGAAAAATAATAGATGATTTTTTTTAAATGATGATGAAATCAGATCAGACCTATTGTCATGTTTAATCCCAGTGAGAGTCTAGTTGGGAATTGATAATTTCTTTTCTTTTCTTCTTTTTTTTTGTTTACAGAAGATCAGTTTAGTATGCATTAAGTAAAGATTTCAACAGTTTGCACCCCCATAGAAACACAAAGTGAAATATATTTTTTGAGTACTCGTTATAGCATTAAATCTCAATGTACAGCACATTAAGGACAGAGATCCTACATGAGGAGTAAGTGCACAGTGACTCCTGTTGTTGACTTTACCAATTGACACTCCTGTTTATGGCATCAGTAATCTCCCTATGCACCAGTCATGAGTTTCCAAGGCTATGGAAGCCCTCTGAGTTCTCCGACTCTTATCTTGTTTAGACAAGGTCATAGTCAAAGTGGAGGTTCTCTCCTCCCTTCAGAGAAAGGTACCTCCTTCTTTGAAGACCTGTTCTTTCCACTGGGATCTCACTCACAGAGATCTTTTTGCCAGAGTATCTTGGCTTTCCATGCCTGAAATACTCTCATGGGCTTTTCAGCCAGATCCGAATGCCTTTAGGGCTGATTCTGAGGCCAGAGTGCTATTTAGGACATCTGCCATTCTATGAGTCTGCTGAGTATCTCCCTTCCCATGTTGGATCACTCTCCCCTTTATTCTATCAGTTAGTTTTAGCAGGTACTAGACTTGTTTATGTGCTTCCTTTGACTCTTAGTCCTTTCATTATGATCAATTGTGAACTTAAATTGATCACTTGGACTGGTGAGATGGCATTGGTACATGCCACCTTGATGGGATTAAATTGGAGTCCCCTGGTATGTTTCTAACTCTACCATTTGGAGCAAGTCAGCTTGAGCATGTCCCAAATTGTACATCTCTCCTCTCTTATTCCTACTCTTATGTTTAACAGGGATCACATTTCAGTTAAATTTCAACACTTAAGAATAACTGTGTATTAATTACAGAATTAAACCAGTCATATTAAGTAGAACAGACAAAAAAACTACTAAGAGGGATAATGTATTAAGTTGTTCATTAACAGTCAGGGCTATGCTGATCAAGTCACCCTTTCTCATAGTGTCCATTTCACTTCAACAGGTTTCCTTTTTGGGGTTCAGTCAGTTGTCACTGATCAGGGAGAACATATGGTATTTGTCCCTTTGGGACTGCCTTATTTCACTCAGCATGATGTGTTCCAGATTCCTCCATTTTGTTGCAAATGACTGGATTTCATTGTTTCTTACTGCAGTAGAGTATTCTAAAGAGTACATATCCCATAATTTCTTTCTCCAGTCTACCGTTGATGGGCATTTAGGTTGGTTCCAGGTCTTGGCTATTGTGAATTGTGCTGCAATAAACATTAGGGTGCAGACCGCTTTTTTGTTTGCCAATTTAAATTCCTTTGGGTAAATTCCAAGGAGTGGGATGGCTGGGTCGAACGGTAGGGTTATCTTCAGGTTTCTGAGGAATCTCCAGACTGACTTCCATAGTGGCTTGACCAGTTTGCATTCCCACCAACAGTGGGTTAGTGTCCCTTTTTCCCCACATCCTCGCCAGCATCTGTTGTTGGTAGATTTCTGTATGTGAGCCATTCTAACCGGGGTGAGGTGAAACCTCATTGTGGTTTTGATTTGCGTTTCC